ATGTATGTATGTATGTATGTGTGTGTGTGCGTGTGTGTGTGTTGCTATTTATACCAGATTTTTGACCATTCGTACACGTTTTAATAAGAAGCAGGGTTCCTCAGTTTCCTTGACCTATTTCCCCCCCATCGGTCACTTTAAAGAGGAGGATCAGAGATTGCTGAGTCGCCTGAAAAGAAAAATATCGACGGAATGCGAGCAATCACTGACACGACCCGACTTTAAGAATTGCGGTGTTCAATGTTGTGACCTTGTGTCGAACCTACGATCGAAGTTGCACTTATTCCACCATTTTTGGCACGTATTCCACCTGGACAGCGCTATAACGGTTAAGCTACGTAAGTTAAACAACAGACCTCATTCAAATTTAAAATTATTTAATTATCATCATTATCCGATGTTTACTGAACACTATATTAGTTACTTACACATAGTAGTATTAGGAGTGATAATCCTAGATTGCTATGAAGCACTCGTAATATTATTAATTTTGATTACTGTTTTTTATTTCATGTTATCTTGATACGACATGCAAAAAGGTCGATTCTTGGTTACTTAGCAAATTCGTAAAATTTAAAACAATCGTGACGTCATGATAAAAAAGCAACAAGCATAATTAAAGATGTTACCAGAGTTTCAAAAGTTAATTAATGCAATAAAAACTGAAATAGTTAAAAGCGGTAAGTATATCTCCATCATCTTTCCGTGAGGAAATGTTCTCAGTTTTGGGCGGATGACATTCTGACTGTCACTTGAAAGTCCTTGAGACAATTCATATGAAATCAAGACAATTATTCTTATGCAAACAAAAGGATTGGTTGTTAGGACTTTGCATAATCTGTCGATAAATAAACCTGTGTCTATATATTATTGAAAAGGATTTATGTTCTTTCCTTATTTTGTATGTGTGTTTTTTTTTTTTTTGTTTGTTTGTTTTTTTTAGTCGGCATACAAGATAATTTAACTTCATCGATCGAGTTCTGACAAATAGAGAGCGATAACCGGTTACCTCATTCTATAGTATTTTTTTTTTTTCATTTTTCTTCTTTTCTTATTGACAACTATTATCGTTGGAGTTTTCTCTTCTTTCTTTTTATCATATCAGTTTTTTCAAGAAAATTAAGTTGAAAAGTAAAAAGAAGATGCTGTAGAAAAATTACTAACAAGGAAAATATTCTGTGCCCTTTTCTAAAAAGACACCCAAGCCTTTGCATAAAGAAAATCATAAAAAAAGCAACTCTTTAGCTACAATCAAAATATTATCTTTGACCTTTCCAATGTTTATAGTCGGCCTGAAGAAAAATAAAACAATAAGTGAATAGAAGAGCATGATCTGCGCATGGCTCTTAGATTTGAAACTGCTTGGGGTTAAAGGGTACAGTTTTACCAACCAATCTCTCTCTCTCTCTCTCTCTCTCTCTCTCTCTCTCTCTCTGTGTGTGTTTTAATTACTCTTCTTGACCAGAATTTACCTTTCTCTCCCCTGTCTGTCTGCATCTCTCCCCCCTCTCTCTCTCTCTCTCTCTCTCTCTCTCTCTCTGTCTCGGTGTTTTAATTACTCTTCTTGACCAGAATTTACCTTTCTCTCCCCTGTCTGTCTGCATCTCTCTCCCCCCCTCTCTCTCTCTCTCTCGCTGTATTTCTCTCTTACAGAAAGAAAACTACAAAAAGTCCTACGGAAGATAATGAAGGAAAGCGAGAAGAAAGGACTAAACATCAAAAGACATAATGCATGGTTGTTAGCAAAAGGAAGAGCACAATATCGGAGACACCAAAATCAAACAAGTACAAAAATTTGATAGACATTTTGGGATAGACAAAAATGCACCCCCAAAAGTAAAGCAGAGGATTTGAGAAACACTGAGAAAACTTCGATAGAAACAAAGAAAAATGTACAGAACAGCTACGTTATATCTGTCTTCTTATATGGAAGGGAATCCTGGAAATCTCTTCAAAGATGAAAAAAGCAACAAAAAATGTGGTTCTACAGAAAGATGCTGAGGATACCATGGACATGTGAACAACGGCGAAGTTTTACGAAAATGGAAGCAGTAAAATCTATACTTAACATAAGAACATATGACGAGGAAAGATGACTTGGAAAATCTTATCCTCACAGACTGAAGGCAAGAGGAACAGAGGAAAACAACGCATTACATACTTAATGAGCTTGAGTAAATGAAATAACAATTTATTAAGAGCTCCAAAGGACAGGAAATTGTGGAGAGCCATGGACACGGCACATAAGGTATAATCTATACATGGTTTGATATATGACTGACCAATGAAAATCAAACAATACAAAAGTAAAAATAGCAGAATTTATTTCATTTTCTTCTCATCTCAGTCTCTAAAGCTTTAATAAAAGTGAAACATGTTAGATTCATAAACGTTTCCTAATTGTTTATCTTATCATTCTGTCGAATTTCCCTCCACATTTGATCTTCATTTAATCTCAAATTCACACACACACACAATATATATATATATATATATATATATATATATATATATATATATATATTAATAAATCTCTTCAGAAAGATAAAGTACCTTTGATCCGAATTATTTTAGTAAATTAATCTTGAAAAAAAGCAAGCAAGCTACAATTTTGATCGATTCTTCAAAATCCTATGCAACAATTCTGAGTGACGCACTTGATCCTAACCTGCCTCCTGATGAGTTACGTTACTCCTTCAGCAGTTGCTGCTACTTATCACGCTTGACTGTAAACTGTTGACAGCAAAGCTTCAACAGCGGCAGCAGCTGCACGAACTGGGCCGGATAATGTTTACTTGGATTCACTGGAAACTGTCGAGCATTAACTGATCAGTATTAGAGAAGAACTAAACGAGATATCCCCAGATACGATCAGCACAATGAGAATGATCCACTTCTGCTCCGTAGATTAAATAAAGGGTTGGCTAGAAATTCCTTGAAGGATCGACAAGCAGCTGATGAAAGCTGGACAGCACAACGGCCGAAACACAATATGATACCAAAAACAAAGAGAGGGATAATAGTGTACATGTAACTAACATTTTTTTTTAAATTGCCAATTTTCAATAAAGTTTTTTAATAAGAAATATCATCGGGTTGAAATAAAAATCCATTGACTGCTATTTTATTTCGATAACTTTCGGGAAGAGTGTCATCTTCGTGCGCAGAGAAGAACACATCCTAGGTGTCAGCAAATATTTTGCAATTTTGTGATGGTTCTGTAACGTGGGGGTTATTGTGTTTCGAAAGAAGCATTAATGAAACGGGTTTCTCTCTTTTCAGGTGTAACCTGTACACACCTCGCTGAAGATTATTTGACCCCCGCACCCACTATTTATGCTTGTAGCGTCAACACCCCCCCCCACGTGGTGATGTGTTCTACTCACCAAATATTTGCAACTATCTCTAATGTGCTCGAGTGACACATAGTTAGTTTCAGAAACATTCGGTTAAAATTTCCACAGGTCCTCCAACTCTCGCTCCCAAACTAAGCAGGAATCTCTACGAAATATTTTCAGGGCAACTGCTCAAGATTGGATCTCCTTTCCTCTCATTTGCTTCCCGGATAACTACAATCTTCAAAAATTTAAATGCAACGTCAATCGCCATCTTCTGTTGCACTAAATTCCTGCCCTTTCTTCCTTTCCTCAATCCCTGCTTCACCCACTGTTTTCTCTCACTTTCACTCTCCTTAACGTCCTGAATGCCATTGGCATTCCCGCCATGCCTGTAGCGAAAAAAAAGTATAATAATTATCATCAGTGTGTTTTTATTTCCTCTCCCATCTTTAGGGAGAAGGGAATTGATCTTAAGTTAGTAAATTTATAAAATTAATTCCCAAGCTTACGTTTCTCCTAATTTTCTTAAATTGCAATCTTATTTGTTCAAGCCTTTCATGTGTGGCACTCAGATACTTTTGTCTATTAAATGATCATCTTACTACTAGATTGCCATCTAGGACCCACCCTTTTCATGATGAAATAATTAAATGTAACCACCACTTCTATTCTATCAGTTTCTTTCCTCAGACTTCCCGACATTGGAACTCCTTTCCTCTCACTCTCTTTCCGGATAATTACAATCTTCAAAAATTTAAAATGCGACGTCAATCGCCATCTTCTGTTTTCTTGAATCCCTGTCCTTTTTTCCTTTTCACATCCCCCCCACCGAGCCATTCTTTTCTCCGTCTTTCACTCTCCGTAACCCTGTGCACATTTATTGGAAATAATACTGGTTTACCTTTCTGGTGTTTAGAGATTATAGACAAATTCCTAAGAAGAATCTGTAAAGTAATAGATCCTGACTTGGCATCTTGACTTCAGTCACTTCCTCACCGACGTGATGTGGTTCCTCTCTGTTTTTTCTACAGATATCTTCATGACGAGCTTTTTTACCCTGGTGCCACGACTTCATGAATTTAAGCGTGCTACTAGATTGGCATCTAGGTCCCACCCGTTTACTCTTGAAATAGCTAAATGCAACCGCCAACTCTACTCCAAAATTTTTTCTCACACTTCCCACCTGTGGATCTCCCTTCTGTTTCCCTGATAAATACGTTCTTCAAAAATTTAAATGCAACGTCAATCGACATCTTCTGTCTTCTTGCATCCCCTTCATCTTTTGTCCTTTCCCTAAACATTCCTCTGCTCAGTCTTCTCTTTCACATTCCCTCCTTGCAACCCCTAATGTACTAGTGGCAATCTCGCTTTGCTTGGGATGAAATTATTAAAAATGTTGCAGATGTCACTAAATTCCTTACCGCCCTCCCTGCAAATCTGAGCTCATTTATAGATTTCCATGAGACTTACCTAGACATATTTCAGAAGCTGAAACGTGTGTTAGATTCCATACCACGAGGTGAAGCCGCCGTTATTTAGTTAAAGACAGCAGATTAACTTTTTAGATCCTCTGTTTATAAAATTAAAATCGATATTTTCACTTTCTGTAACTTTTGAGCAGGGATATGAAAAAAAGAAAATGTTTATAATTCGGGACAGTACCTTTAGTTCGGAAGAATGGCCGGCTGAGATCATGTAGAATTGAAACATACATGGGATTTGATTGACAACTGGCCACTAATTTGTGTTTGACATACGTGACTGTGTCATCTGTGTCAATTAACTGTACGAGAAGAGACTTGGGTTCAGGGCTGTCGTAGGTGCGTCCGTCAGAGCCAAGGTAAATAACCACACCCACAGCAATCACAGGTCGTGCATAATAAACCTGCAAACAAAAACAAATATATGTTTATAATTATACATAAGATATACAATAATATACGCAAGTCTTTCTCATGTTTGAATCATTAGAGGGAGTCTCGAGGGCGGCATTTGCTTAATTAATGCTGATTTTCAAAGCTAGTAAATTTCGCCCACGTAACCGAATACATCAACACAATTTTCTCTTTTCTTTCAATTTATAACATTAATTTACATTATAATAACACCATTTCTGTACGGCTTATTGTGTGTTTTTTACCATAACAAAGCAAAAACGGCATTTCGTAGCGCAATTTTGTTATCACAATCCTGCTAACATGCTCTAAAGCATTTTCCAGTTCAACCGAGCCATAGGTTTCTAACTGATTTTAATTAAGGATAAATTGAAAAATAGCTACTCAAGGTAGATAACTAAAGGCTTGCTAACTGTTAATTACAGATTTGTTTCTTTGAGTTTTTTAATAAGAAAATAAGAGAAATAAGCAGAGAAGAATCCTTGACATATCCGCTTTCATACTAATACTGATACTTTAATAATAATTAATAACAAGCGTAATGATAATTATAATTTAAATATAACTGTAATATTAATTCTGCTAATATGGAGCAAAAAACTGCTGTAAATGTCATTTATACAAATAATAATAATAATAATAATAGTACCAAAGCTAATGGCCAAAACATCGTGATCAAAGACCACAAAAATAGAATGTGATTTCTTGATATGGCAGATTCCCTGTAGATTATAAATAAAAGGATCTTGAAATGGAAATCTCAACAATGTGGAACATGAGGACATCAATAATTCTAATTGTAGCTGGAGCTCTCGGTTTGATTGGAAACAGTTCCGATAGACTCATTAAAGAGATTCCTGGTAGCCGAAGTCATATAGGAATAAAAAAAATTCTACTCACAAGTAGAGATCACACCTTACGAAAGGCTTTATCGATTTAAAGAAGAAGAAGAAGAAGAAGAACTTTTAAGGAAAATGGAAACAGAAATGACAATTATAATTAGAATCAGAAAGACAGAATTGATATTTCTGAATGAGGAAAGGGGGTTTGGAGAATTCAACACTAACAGGACATATTGAAGGCAAGAATGACTGAAGGAATCTCCGAGTAACCTAACGAACATGTGTAAATGAATGGCTGGACAGGGGCTGGGAAAGGTAGTAAAAAAAACAAAAGTACTAAGAGCTACAGAGGATAGGAAGTTGTGGAGAACCATAATCTCCTATACTGTGAAGGAATACAGCACGTAAATGTAGAAAAAAAAGACGATGATTCTATTTTTTTTCTTTTTGACCAGAATTACGATGTCGCCCATTTTGAAACGAGAAAATTCACTACAGATTGTTTCATCGTCTCGGGTAAATTTTAACATTATTATTTGGAAATGAAGCGGACGTTATTTTACAACGGATATCTGTATATTTCAAGATAATCCCCTTTGTAATTCTGTTTCCTGTCACCGGTGTACGCTATGAGGAGATGTTTTATCTTGCTGGAACAAGCCACACCCACCGTGAAACTTGCCGAACTTTATCATCATTATCAATTCCATGAACGGACATTGATCGTAGCAGACCAGCTTAGCAGTATCGCGGTTGAACACCGAATAGAAAATTCATTTATCCGTTGCGTGTCTTAGGCAACTAGACATGACGAAACGCATCCCTCTCTCGGTCAAACCACAGCTGACGCCCGCCTACTTGATGGTTCACCTTGGTCACAGACACTTGCCCATTGACTACATTGGTGGTATCCTTCGCCCTCGCTATTGAATTCAGTTTTAGAATCCTCTGGTTCAGTGATACTATGTCATCAACACACTGGTTACATATATGGCTATAGAGACCAGCCTCAGTGGAATAGATGGCCGTTGACTCTACAGGAGGCTTCTTTCGACTCTTGTCAGCTCTTTTTAAAATCCTGCTTGGAGTCTATCCTCAAGAAAGGAGGAAACTTGTTTAGTCACCGGTAACTCAGATCGTACTTGGTTACATGATAACCACTAACACTCGTCGAATGATCTGTTGAACATACTGGGGTTTGTAAAAAGATCCATTTGTATTCTGCCTGTCAAGACAAACTCTGCTTTCACTGATAGTCTTTGCGAACTTCAACTGAACACGTCCCAATTGATTACAGACTGGCAATAAACTCGCACAACATTTTGTTGGATCCACAATCTCACAACTTAGATCGAATAGAACAGAGTAAAAGTTTTTAAATCCAAATTCAGTTATAGCTCCGTCTCAAGCTATATATTTATTGACCTGGCCTTTATAACTTTTATCGAGAACAGATTTATCATGATTGTGTCTATTTTGTTAGAAAAGTGACAAATATTTTTATTAATTTTTTATTTTATTTCTGTAAACAGTTTTCAGAATTGACAACTTCTCACAACATTCAGACCGGACAACTTTTATTTTCTGGGAAAATATGATTTGCCTTCAAATCGAGGAAAGTCTCAACTCCATCGAGTCACAATGGGTTCAGCTGTTTGGTAGACAGAAAAAGAAGAGGGTGACAGCAGGGGAAAGAAATGTGGGGATAAGGGTACACTTCTCTTCTTTGGCATAGGAAGGACTGCATGCATTTAAATTTCTTTTCCTTTCTTTCTCTCTCTCTCTCTCTCTCTCTCTCTCTCTCTTTCATTATTTCTGTTCTTTTTTCTTTTGATCATTTTCATTTTCCTTGCTTCTTTCTTTCTTTGTCTTTCATTTTTCTCTTCTTTTTCGTATGCCATTTCACTCGTTCTCCTTTTCTCTTCTTTCTATCTTTTCTTCTCTTTCCTTTCGTTTGTTCTCTTTCTTTTTCTTTCTTTTCTTATCTGCTCTCTCTTCTTCTTTCGTATTTCCTTCTTTGTTCTTTTTTTTTCTGTAGTTCTTATTATTCATCTCGTCTCTCTTTTCTCTCAATTTTTTCTTCTTTCTTTCTTTTTCCCTTTCTGAATTCGCGTTAAATCGGAATGCGTAACAACGGGATGATATTTACAATTGGAAACAAAAAAGTTGTAAGCCTACACAACACTCGAAAGGTGCTGATAATTGTAAAGTTTGTCTTTGGAGAGAAGCAAAAGATTGTAAATAAGTTGAGGAAATTATGATTAATGATTCACCATAATTCCCACTTTCCACGGTGTCCTTCAAAGTTATCTTTTTAAACGTTTAGAAAACCATTTTACAAAATCACCGTTCATAAAGCGTCAATAAATATCGTACAACATTCCTTTGAAGGTGCCGTTAAATACCTACGAAATTTACCTCGAAACGTTAAATATACAGAAACGCTCAGCAATTAAATTTAAATTTTGGGCGTACGGTATATATATAAATGATTAATTTAACGTCAATCTCGTTGAGTTTTATTTTTATCCCACATTTTATTAGCAAAAGTTTTGTGAGGAAAAGAGATATTCCAGGATTTAGGGCGGACGTTTACCGCAGATGATTGCATAACTAATTTTATTACAGTTTCCTCTTAATAAATTAATTAAACACACGCACACTCCAACGCGCGTGCACACACATATACACAACGTTCCAATGAATGTGAGGCTTGCAGTCATATCACGTTGAAACTCCGGTATTCTTACGATCAATGAAGTTAAGCAATGTCGAGCCTGATAAGAACCTAGATGCGCGCCATCTTGGAAATACCAAATGCCGTAAGCTTGAACGTTCGGGTGGTGTAATGGATAACGGCTCGGAATTGGAAACTAGAGAGCCGAGTTCCAATTCCAGTCGGATTCGTTATATGCACTTACGTACAAATACACTTGAGAAGGTATGAATCCGCTTTTTCTACCCCCAGCTATGTACTAATTAGTATGACATATATCAGTAAATCATTATTATATTGTCTGTAATTATTACGATCTCATAATATGTTTTGGCTTTAAATAACTGGCAAAAGTTGGATAAGGCATAAAAATAATCAGTTATTAAAAATAATCGATTTATAAAAGAAACATTACTGCACACACACACACACAAAATATATATATATATATATATATATATATATATATATATATATATATATATAAAAAACCTTACACCTTATATAAAGATATACACGAAATAAATTATAACCGAAATAAATCTTTAAGTTTTTCTTCTTGATTACTATTATTATAATGCTCTCTAGTTTAGATTGAGCTCTCTCTGGATTAATATCCTGCTTGAAATTATCCCTATCATTCATAAACTGCTTATATATATATATATATATATATATATATATATATGCACACACACAAGGCCTCTTATCAGGAGCTTTTGAGGCGCATGGCACCTCCTCATAATTGTTGTTCTTCAATGCTCCACACTGATTCGGGGTAGTTGCACCTGTTACGGCCCTAATTATGAGCAAATAGTGAAACTCTAAACAATAAATCAACAGCACAATTTTTTTATAGCAAAATGGCGAACAATAAATTTCATAGTAAAATTACCAGCAATACATTTTTATAAAAGAATTACCAACAATACATTTTCGTAGTGAAATTATCAGCAGTACATTTTATGAAACTAAAATCTAAAACATATCTTATTCTCTGAAAGAATAAAATTATGTAAAAAATGTTTAGATTTTGGCCTTAAATCAGCCATAGAAGTTGATATGCCGCTAAACAAAATCAACCAACCGACCAACAAATATGTCTATGCACAAAAGCCGTGTATCATCTACTATGAATTCAATTGTGAAAGCAGAATAACATACAACATTTTTTCTTACTTCAAAGCTTCCAAGGTAATTAAATGTCGGTATTAAATGACCCATAAGGAGTTGATATGCCGTTAAACAAATCAATCAGTCAGTCAATATATAAAAGTATATGTAGCTTTTCAAATGTTCGCTTTCTAACACTTGATTTTACGTAAAATCTATCTGACCACCATTTATCTTTGCTATCTGAAATGGAATAAAGCTGAAAAGCATTTATTGGAAATTTCTACCATTCTCAGACTATCACTGTAACCTTCTTTTA